GGGGGGGGGGCCCCGGGGACCCCGGGCGCGGGAAACCCGGCCCGGAGCCGAAGGTTCCGTGAGCGAGAGGGGCCGGTGCAGACGGAGCCAGGGTCCCCCACGAGGCCGCCGCGGAAAGCAGCAGGGAACCCCCCTTTCCCCGCTTGCCCGGCCCCTCCTCCCCCGCCCCGAGCATATAGGTGCCCCTGCCCGCGGGGGTGGGGGCGGCCCCTCAGGACCGGCTCTGCCCCTGCCCAGAAGCCCGGCTCCTCTCAGCGGCAACTCGGAAAGGCGTCGGCAGGCACGGAAGAGCTGGGCAACCCCTGCCGCGAGTCCACACGGGGAAAGGCCTGGGACTGGTTCCGCTTGGGATATGAAAGCGAGGGATAGAAGAGGCCCTTAGTGTCCCTCGTGCTGTAGGACAGTCACTTGCCTGGGAAGTGTAGAAAACACGCCCACGGGCGTAGGTTGCTGCATAATAGCCCATACTTGTGCACAAAGCGCCCTTTTTCTATGGATTCCCATCAACTTACTTTTAGTGATTAGCCTTAAGGAAATCTCAGACCAAGGTGGAGTTGGAATGGTCCTACATTGAACGGTCCTCTCGTTTGCCTAAGTGATATCTTGTTTAAGTTCACTAGTAGGCTACATTGTTCAACAAAAGCAAACTTTTTGGCGTTTACATTTCACAATGATTTAATCCTACCTAGGAATACAAATGGAGGTTAATGCTGAGGAAAATATTTTCTTTAAAAATATACTCAGACCTTATCTAGAGAAGAATAAAATGAATGTTATATAGTAGTCTAATATCACTGTAAAGTCTAGTATACACAGATCTTTAAAACATGCTAAATCTGTCAACTATATAGAAACTTAAGCTTTAACCCAACCACTTAGCCTATATTGAAATATACAATGCTTCCTTTACATCAGGCATGTCAAACTGGAAGCATACTGAGGGCCACACAAACGAAAACTGATAGCTTTCAGGGCTACCTAGGGTTCTCAGAAGGTTTGATCAAAAAAGAAAATTAGTTGTCGATCAAAAAAAAAAAAAATGTTTAGAAGACACCAATACCAGACACCTGGCAACCCAGTCGCAGTTATTTATTATTATATTTTAAGTATATTTTATACATTACAATAATTTCATGTGTAAAATTATTTGCTTATAATTTTTTTAATTAATTTTACATAATTTTTAATTTAAATATAAATTTAAGGTATTGTTAAATGTTTTGAATGGTACATAACTTGTTTTGTTGAAATAAAAACAAATATAGACCATGTTAATCAAATAGAACAGGCTTCTGTGAAAATTTCAGATACTTTATAAGTATGAGATTTTGCATAAAGATATTATTCATGCAATTGCAAAAAATTGACATTTATGGATATAAAATTAATATATATATATATATATATATAGTGAT